TCAGATTGCCGGCCGCACTATCACAGTCCCACTATAAGTCGCTGATCACCATCATTAGTAGTATGAAAAAATAAACATTTCAGTGTATATATCATAGTTTGGAGACATTATAACTTTCGCGCAAACCAATAATATACACTTATTGGGATTTTTTTTAACCAAAGATATGTACATACACATACATTACATACAAATACATTTTGGCCTGGTATTGGAATTTTACACATTTTTTTTATTTGGATATGATTGACATTTGATTTTTTATTTTTTTCTATATGTTTTATAGCAGAAATTAATATATATATATATATATATATATATATATATATATTTTTTTTTTTTTTTTTTTATTTATTTATTTTTTAATTTTTGGTCTTTTTTAATTTATATAATAAAAAAATATAAAAATGATGATCAAATGCCACCTCTATTTGTGTGAAAAAATTATACAAATTTCATTTGGGTGCAGCATTGCATGACCATGCAGTTGTCAGTTAAAGTAGCGCAGTTCCAAATAGTTATAGTTAGGGTTTTCTTTCACTTTAAGAGCTCATTCACACCAGGTCCATAGGGCTGCACTGGGCAGCCATGCCAAACGCAAAGACAAAACTAAAATCTTTGCTTTGTATAGGGCTTGTCCAAACAAAATGCTGCTTTGGTGTCCATTGCAATAAAATGGTGCAGGAATACATCGTATAGCAGTGCAGCGCATTACAATGAGTGGCAAAGCACTGCTGTGCACAGAGTTACATAAAGTGTAATTTAACCACTTTCCTAACCACAGATATACTGCTACAGGGCGGCAGGGGTGTGCAAAATCATAATTTTGCATTTACGGATAGGGGGCGCGGCTGTCAATCACGGGGTCCCGGCTGGTGATTACCTGCTGGCGCCCCGTGATTACTGAGCATCTCCGACAGGAAGGATAACTGTTTTGTTTACTAACAGTCCTCCTCCCTGTCATCTCAGGCACACTGCTCTGGATGGCTGCACACCGCACAGCCATCCAGAGCAGTGTGATAACAATGAAGCACCAACACACCTCCCCCTAGTAAAACACGCACAGCACACCTTTTGATCGCCCTCATGTTAACCCCTTCCTGCCATAAGTACAGTGTCGGTGCTTTTTTTTAGCACTGATCACTGTATTGGTGTTACTGGGGATGTCAGTGACACCAAGTCAGTTCCTCCCAGTGTCAGAATATCCGCCGCAGTCCTGCAGTCCCAATATAAGCTGTTGATCGCCGCCATTACTAGTAAAAAAAAAAAAAAAAATCCAGTAACTATACCGCCATTTGTAAATGCTATAACCTTTGCGTAAACCAATGAATTTACATCTATTGGGATTTTTTTTTTAGCAAAGACATGTAGCAGAATACATTGTGGCCTAAATTTATGAAGAATTTAGATTTTAAAAATTTTTTACCGGACATGTGTAATAGCAAAAAGTCAACAATATTGTTTTTCTCTCAAAATTGTCAGTCTTTGTTTATAGCTCAAACAATTAAAAACGCACAGGAGATCAAATACCACCAAAAGAAAGCTCTATTTGTGGGAAAAGAAAGGAAATACATTTGGGTGCAGCGTTGTATGACCGCTCAATTGTCAGTTAAAATAACACAGAACCGTAATGCAAACAATGGCCTGGTCAGGAAGAGGGGTGAATCCTCAGGAGAACAAGTGGTTAAAGCAGAGCTCCAGGCTCTCCCCCCAAAAAATAAAAGTCAGCAGCTACAAATATTATATAAGGACACTTACCTGTCCAGGGATCCAGCAATGTCCTCACCCCGAGCTGATTCTTCAATCGGGTGCAGGGACCGGCATCTTAAGTAAGGGAAACGGGAAGTGAAGCCTTGCAGCTTCACTGCCAGTTTAATACTGCTCATGCGCGCTGTGCTTTTTGGGTGGGTAGCAGCCTTCTGGGACCTGTGATGGGTCCCAGAAGGCTGAGGGGACAAGACTTCCAGTTTATCTGACCAGAAGTTGGAACCAGGTAACCACTCCCCCCTCTCTCCCTCCCATAAAGTGACAAATGTGGCAGTGGAGGGGGGAGGATGCAGACAAGCAGAGCTTCCCCTTTTGCGTGGAGTTCCGCTTTAAATACAGTTCCTTAAAAAAAAAAAAAAGCAATTTCCATGATGTGCTTTAACAAAACATTGTAGCATGTTTGTACAATGCCCACCATAGCACATGCGTACTGGTGTGAATGAGCCCTAATACTGCACTCACAACATGGCCAAAATAATAATACATGCAGCCAGGGGCGGACTGACCATTAGAGCACTCGGGCACTGCCCGAGGGCCCAGGGTTAGTAGGGGGCCCCATGAAATGCCCCTAGTACCTTTTTATAGGCTTTTTTGGGTGTGCTTTGAGTGTGGGCAAGGACACAGGGGCCCCATGATCCCCTATTGCCCGGGGGCCCCATGAGTTGTCAGTCCTCCCCTGCATGCAGCAACAGTCTAGCATTCTCTCCCAATGCCCAAAGTATGTTATCATGTGACATCATCAGGCGCCTTGAAAAGGACGCCGTCTGCAGAGAATCTTGTCTGAGGGATCATGTGATTCCATCAGGTGCCTTGGAAAGGACGCCGTCTGCAGAGAATCTTGTCCGAGGGATCGTAAGGGTCGTTCAGGCTTGGAAAGGCTTGCATGGCATTGGTGACTTAAGAGGAGCAGCCATTGAATGGGTGTGACTTAGTTTTGGCTGGTGTTGGCGCGTACTGTAAGAAAAATATTATATAACATTTTTGTGCTTATTTCTTTAAAGATACACTGCATTGTGTCAATGAACCTAAAATCTAACCCCATCATTAAACTTTGAATGGTTTTATTCACCCTTTCACGGTGAACCCTTCTAATAGGGGACTTGTCTCCATTTAAAACATGCTGCAGATTATAACGCAGAATCTGATGCATTTGATATGTATTGCAGTATCAAAGCTTACTGCATTGTCCTTGTCTGAGATAAATAATTGATGAATTTGTAGTAACAATTTTGCAGCATTAACCAGCTAATGGTCATCTTGTGGAGCTGATAATGTAAAATTAATGCCTTATAAAGTGAGATTTGTACAATCCAAACAATCTCTAAAACACTCTCATTACATACTGAAATACTGATGTAAAGGTATGTTAACTGATATGCTGAAAAAGATATAAAGAGCAATAGGTGGGCTGGAGATAATGCTGCTTTCCAGGTGCCCTCCAGTGCTGACCACATGGACTTGAGCGCTGGGTCATGTGATCTCCAGATAAGTGAAGAACAGAGTTCAGATTGACTGAAGTTCCCCTTAAAATTGTGTGATCAAGCCATGTTACTTTCTTGGCACATGAAGCTCAACTTTGAGACTGTATTTCCCATCACTCCTTGCTGCTGCTTTATATTGCAGGAGGTGAGTTGTGGGAGATTGATAGACACTGCAGTTTCCTCCACTATTCATTAGAGAACAGGGAAAGCACTTGGCAATTCCATGCATTGGTGGGTTGCATGGTTGAGTCGTGTATTGGTGGGTTGGCAAGTCCATGCATTGGTGGGTTGGGTGGACAAGTCCGTGCATTGGTGGGCTGGATGGACAAGTCCATGAATTGCTGGGTTGGGTGGACAGATCCATGCATTGATAGGTGGAGTGGAGAAGCCAATGTATTACTGGGTTGAATGGGTGAGTTCATGCATTGGTTGGTTGGGTGAATAAGTTCATCATTGGTTGGTTGGATAAACAGGACCATATATTGGTGGGTTGGGTGGACAGATCCATACATTGGTAGGTGGAGTGGACGAGCCATTGCATTGGTGGGTTAGATGGGTGAGTTCATGCATTACATAGTTAGTCTGGCTGAAAAAAAGACAAAAGTCCATCCAGTTCAACCATAGAAAAAAAAAAGTTATAATCCTATACCCACAGTTGATTCAGAGGAAGGCAAAAAAAAAAACCCAGCAAAGCACGATCCAATTTGCTCCTGCTGGGAAAAATGTCCTTCCTGATCCCCTGAGAGGCAATCGGATATTCCCTGGATCAACGTTACCTATAAATGTTATTATCCAGTTATATTCTGTGTGTCCAAGAAAGAATCCAGGACTTTTTTAAAGCAATCCACTGAGCTGGTCAGAACCAACTCTTCAGGGAGTCTATTCCACATTATCACAGCTCTCACTGTGAAGAAACCTTTCTGTGATTGGAGATTAAACAACATAAAGAGTGCCTCCTTGTCCTCTGTGTTGACCTCAGGGTGAATAGCTCTACACCGAGTTCATTATATGAACCACTGATGTATTTATACATGTTGATCATATCCCCCCTTAATCTCCTCTTCTCAAAAGAGAATAAATTCAGTTCCTCTAACCTTTCCTCATAGCTGAGCTCCTCCATGCCTCGTATCAGTTTAGTTGCCCTTCTCTGTACTTTCTCCAGTTCCCCAATGTCCTTTTTGTGAATTGGTGCCCAAAACTGAACTGCATATTCCAGATGAGGTCTTACTAATGATTTGTACCGGGGGAAACGATATCTCTCTCTCTGGAGTCTATACCTCTTTTAATGCAAGAGAGGATTTTGCTCGCTTTAGAAACCGCAGCTTGGCATTGCATGCCATTATTAAGCTTGTGATCTACCAGAACCCCCAGATCCTTCTCCACCATTGATTCCCCCCAGTTGTACCCCCCCTAGTATGTATGATGCATGCATATTCTTAGCCCCCAATTGCATAACCTTACATTTATCAACATTAAACCTCATTTGCCACATAATTTCACAATTAAACAGTGCATTGAGGTCGGCTTGTAAGTTGGAGACATCCTGTAAGGACGTTATTCCACGGCACAGCTTGGTGTCATCTGCAAAGACTGAAATGGGATTTTTAATTTCAGACCCTATATTGTTTATAAATATATTAAAAAGTATGGGTCCCAACACTGAACCTTGGGGTATACCACTGATGACCCCAGACCATTCAGAGTATGAATCATTAACCACTACTCTCTGAATACGATCTTTTAGCCAGTTTTCTATCCATTTACATACAGATTTTTCCAACCTGTAGACTTTACCTTACACATTAGCCGTGTGTGGGGAACTGTGTCAAATGCTTTTGCAAAATGCAAGTATACCACATCCACCGCCACCCCTCTGTCCAAGTATACCACGTCCCACCGCCCACCCCTCTGTCCAAGTATACCATGCCCACCACCACCCCTCTGTCCAAGTATACCACGTCCACCACCACCCCTCTGTCCAAATATCCACGCCACCCCTCTGTCCAAGTATACCACGTCCACCGCCACCCCTCTGTCCAAGTATACCACGTCCACCGCCACCCCTCTGTCCAAAGTATTGCTCACCTCCTCATAAAAAGAAATTCGATTTGTTTGACAACTTCTGTCTTTCATGAATCCATGCTGTCTGTTGCTTAAAATATTTTTTCCAGCAAGAACTCATCTATGTGGTCTTTTATTAAACTCTCCAGTATCTTCCCAACTAACAGGTCTATAATTACTTGGTAAAGATTTTGACCCCTTTTTAAATATTGGCACCACATTGGCCTTACACCAATCCAGTGGTACTATGCCAGTCATTAACCACTTGAGCCCCAGAGGATTTACCCCCCTTAATGACCAGGCCTTTTTTTGCTGTTTGGCGCTGCACTAATTCAAATGATAATTGCGCGGTCATGCAATGCTGTACCCAAACGAAATTTACGTCCTTTTTTCACACAAATAGAGCTTTCTTTTGGTGGTATTTGATCACCTGTGCGCTTTTTATTTTTTTGCGCTATAAACAAAAAAAACCACGAAAATTTTGAAAAAAAAACAATATTTTCTACTTTCAGCTATAAAAAATATATCGTAAACTCAAAGTTAGTCATAAATTTAAGCCAAAATGTTTTCTGCTCCATGTTTTTGGTAAAAAAAAACTCCCAATAAGTGTATATTGATTGCTTTGTGTGAAAGTTATAGCGTCTACACGCTATGGTATAGATCAGCAATGGGCAAACTACGGCCCGCGGGCCGTATACGGCCCGGCGGACCTTTTAATCCGGCCCGCGGAGCTAGGCTCCCGCTAGGCTCCTCTCACAGTCCGCCCTGAAGACCGGTGTAGCATGAAAATCTGTCTCCTATGAGGATCTGTCCCCCTCGACGTATCTGCGCATGTGCCCGGAGATCGCCGATTGGCTGCTAATGCCTGAAACTGGCACATGCGCAGATACGTTGAGGGGGAAAGATCCTCATAGAAGACAGATTTTCATGCTACACCGGAACGGGAGGAACGCGCGGAGCAAAGGTAAGTGAATTGACACAGGGGGGACTTGGGGACTTAATATGGGGGATGAATTACTATGGGGGATGAATTACTATAGGGGGGATGAATTACTATGGGGGATAATTTACTATGGGGGATGAATTACTATATGGGGATGAATTACTATGGGGGATGAATTACTATATGGGGGATTAATTACTATAGGGGGGATGAATTACTATATGGGGGATGAATTACTATAGGGGGGGTGAATTACTATAGGGGGGATGAATTACTATGGGGGATGAATTACTATATGGGGGATGAATTACTATATGGGGGATGAATTACTATAGGGGGGATGAATTACTATAGGGGGATGAATTACTATATGGGGATGAATTACTATGGGGGATGAATTACTATATGGGGGATGAATTACTATATGGGGGATGAATTACTATATGGGGGATGAATTACTATGGGGGATGAATTACTATATGGGGGATGAATTACTATAGGGGGGATGAATTACTATGGGTGATGAATTACTATGGGGGATGAATTACTATGGGGGATGAATTACTATATGGGGGATGAATTACTATAGGGGGATGAATTACTATATGGGGGATGAATTACTATGGGGGATGAATTACTATATGGGGGGATGAATTACTATAGGGGATGATTTACTATGGGGGATGAATTACTATATGGGGATGAATTACTATAGGGGGGATGAATTACTATATGGGGGATGAATTACTATATGGGGGATGAATTACTATAGGGGGGATGAATTACTATAGGGGGGATGTATTACTATATGGGGGATGAATTACTATATGGGGGATGAATTACTATGGGGGATGAATTACTATGGGGGATGAATTACTATATGGGGATGAATTACTATATGGGGGATGAATTACTATATGGGGGATGAATTACTATATGGGGGATGAATTACTATATGGGGGATGAATTACTATATGGGGGATGAATTACTATGGGGGATGAATTACTATATGGGGGATGAATTACTATATGGGGGATGAATTACTATGGGGGATGAATTACTATATGGGGGATTAATTACTATGCTTACTATGGGGGAATATTACTATACTTACTATGGATGACACATACACATCATTCATCTACTCTTGGTCCGGCCCCCGGGTCCAATATATGAACCCATTGCGGCCCTCAAGTCAAAAAGTTTGCCCACCCCTGGTATAGATACTGTAATGTATGCCTTTTTTTGCTATACAGCGCTGCACTAATTCAAATGATAATTGCGCGGTCATGCAATGCTGTACCCAAACAAAATTTATGTCCTTTTTTTCACAGAAATAGAGCTTTCTTTTGGTGGTATTTTATCACCTGTGCGCTTTTTATTTTTTGCGCTATAAACAAAAAAAACACGAAAATTTTGAAAAAAAAACAATATTTTCTACTTTCAGCTATAAAAAATATATCGTAAACTCAAAGTTAGTCATAAATTTAAGCCAAAATGTATTCTGCTACATGTTTTTGGTAAAAAAAATCCCATGCATTAGCGGGCAAACTGGCGCTATCTAGGAGGGCGCTAACACACTATCGGAAGTCACCAGTGACACTAATACAGTGATCAGTAAAAATCTGTTCACTGTAATCAATGACACTGGTGACAGGGCAGTGAAGGGTTAACTGGGGGGGGGAGGGGGGCGATCAAGGGGTTAAATGGGATTTCTGGTGCACTAGCGGGCAAACTGGCGCTATCTGGGAGGGGCGCTAACACTATCGGAAGTCGCCAGCGACACTGATATAGTGATCAGTAAAAATCTGTTCACTGATCAATGACACTGGTGACAGGGCAGTGAAGGGGTCAACTCGGGGGGGGGGCGATCAAGGGGTTAGACAGGATTATTGGTGTATTAGCGGGCAATCTGGCGCTATCTGGGAGGGGCGCTAACACTATCGGAAGTCGCCAGCGACACTGATACAGTGATCAGTAAAAATCGGTTCACTGATCAGTGACACTGGTGACAGGGCAGTGAAGGGGTTAACTGGGGGGGGGGGGGGGGGATCAAGGGGTTAAGCGGGGATTACTGGTGTATGGCAGGGCAAACTGGCGCTATCTGGGAGGGGCGCTAACTCTATCGGAAGTCGCCAGCGACACTGATACAGTGATCAATAAAAATTGGTTCACTGATCAGTGACACTGGTGACAGGGCAGTGAAGGGGTTAACTGGGGGGGGGGGGGGGCGCGATCAAGGGGTTTAAACGGGATTACTGGTGTACTGACGGCAGTCTGGCGCTATCTGGGAGGGGCGCTAACACTATCGGAAGTCGCCAGCGACACTGATACAGTGATCAGTAAAAATTGGTTCACTGATCAGTGACACTGGTGACAGGGCAGTGAAGGGGTTAACTGGGGGGGGGGCGATCAAGGGGTTAAACGGGATTACTGGTGTACTGGCGGGCAAACTGGCGCTATCTGGGAGGGGCGCTAACTCTATCGGAAGTCGCCAGCGACACTGATCAGTAAAAATCGCTTCACTGATCAGTGACACTGGTGACAGGGCAGTGAAGGGTTAACTGGGGGGGGGGGCGATCAGGGGGTTAAATGTGTCCTAGAGTGTTCTAACTGTAGTGTAGTGCTTGTGTACTCACTTTTTGGATGTCTTCTTCTCTGTCTGGAACGGAATGTGTCCAGGCAGAGAAGAATGACATCATATCCTGCCCTGTGTATTTGTCAACACAGGACAGGATAGGACAGGGACCGATCATGTGATTTCAGTCAGAAATCACTGGCTGAAATCTAATGATTGATCCCTCCTGGATCAAATCGTGTCACCCGCAGGTCGGCGGGAGCACGCGCGCGCGCCCCCTGCCGGCGAAAGTGTCGGGAGCGCGGAACCCGTTTTAAAACGTGGTTTTGCGCTCCACTGCCGCCCTGCACACGTATATACACAGTGGCAGGGCGGCAAGCGGTTAAAGAGTCCCTAAAAATTAGAAACAATGGCTTTGAAATGACAGAGCTAAGTGTTGTTCGTTTTCGATTTTTGCGGCCTTTATATTTCCTTTTTGCATATTCTGTTATGTTCTTTGTAATGGTTAAATGATGATAGTGTTCCTTCATTTTTATATTGAATAAAAGCTCTTTTCTTATTATCTATAGCATTTTTACCTTTGGCCGTAAACCACATAGGTTTGATTTTTAGCCTTTTAAACTTTTTGCCCATGAGAATCGATTTTGCAGTGTGTTCACATACAGTGTTTTTGAAGAACTCCCATTTCTGTGTTGTGTTCATCAATGCCAATATTCATTCCCAGTCTAAGTCTTGGAGAGCAGCTCTCAGCCTTGGAAAATTAGCTCTCCTGAAATTGAGCATTTTTTTATTTTTCCTGTATGCGCTTGCTGTTTACAGCTAACAATAAATCAAATCATGTTATGGTCACTGCTACCAAGATGTTCTTTTATATGGACATTTGTAATAAGCGCTGCATGGTTTGAGATTACCAGGTCCAGCAGAGCATCATTCCTAGTGGGGTCCTCTATGAACTGTACCACAAAATTGTCCTTTAGTAGGTTTATACATTTTTGCCCTTTAACTGTTCCTGCAGTACCATTACTCCAGTCAATTTCCGGGTAGTAAAAATCCCCCACTGTCCCAGCCCTTGCAGCCCTTTCGATCTGTGCAAGGAGCTGAGTTTCCATCTCCTCATTAACACTGGGAGCCTTATAACAAACTCCAATGATTACCTTTGCAGTACGCACCCCAATGTGCAGTTTCACCCATACTACTTCAGCCTTATTACACTCTCCATCAACTAGGTCCTCTTTCACACTCGCTCTGGGATCACTTCTCACATAGAGACAGACGCCACCACCTTTCCTATTTACTAGGTCTCTCCAAAAGAGAAACATAGCCAGGAATATTAGTGGCCCAGTGTGAAGAATTTAGCCAAGATTCAGCAATGCCAATTAAATCATAGTTCTCTTCATGCAACAAAGCTTCCAACTCACCTATTTTGCATGGCAGACTTCTGGCATTGGTGAACAAACACTTTAATTGATTGACACCTTGTTCACACGTATTTTGCATATTTTTTATTTTCATACAAATGGTACCATTTCCACTGATTGTTTGAAACATGG